TTATCTTCGAGGATTGGTAATGTGATTGCTTTGTTATGTATTAGTGGAAAACGAGATGGGTTAAGGACACCTGTCCAACTACGTGGCGAGTACCACTTCTTCTGACGTTTCGAGGTTGGACTCGTGTTATGTGTTTCTTTACACGTGTTGCATATATTACCAACGATTGATTTTTCGGGAAAAATACTCTACCGACTAACAAGAGGATATTTAGATCAAGGAGACAAATGTATATACACTGGTGAGAGGACTTATATTTTGTCTAATCATTTTAAAAAAAATTCTTATCTTATTGTTCCCTTACAGAATCCATGTATTTACTAAAATATAGTTTTGGGTTTAACTATTTTCTGTATAACCATCATCTAGAATAAGATAGAATCAAATTGTTATGTTAGATGAACCAAAAACAAAATTTATTCCGATAACTTGATCACGGTTCAATGATTTGTATTAAATATGGGCTTTGAAACAAAGCCAATGGGCTTTTTGTGAACAAAGCTAATTGATAATTATAATTTGCTTTCTTCTTCGAGAGATGAGATAAAAAAAAAAAAAAAACATACGAAAATGATGATTTCCGATCTTCCAGGCGATTTGGAATCGGAAATTCTCTCTAGGGTTCCGGCCAAGTCTCTGGTAAAATTTCGAGGCACTTGCAAACGATGGTACGCTTTGTTCAAGGATCCGAAATTCGCCAAGAAAAACCAAGGTAAATCAGCAAGAGAGTTGATCTTACTGAAGAATTTCAGGGTTTATTCAGTGATCGTCAATCGCCATGGAATTCACAAAGGTATTGATCCATCCATGGAGTTTAGAGGTAAACTAAACACACTAAAGGATTCAAAAGATTACAAAATATCTGAGATTTTTCAGTACGAGGATTTGATATTATGCGTTACGAAAGGAAACACTAGACTCGTTGTTTGGAACCCTTGTACCGGTGAAACTAGATGGATCAAACCCAGTAGCGTTAACAGGATAAATTATTTGTATGCTCTAGGATACGGAAACAGCAATTCTAATTCTTCTTGCCGTAGCTACAAAATCTTGAGGTTTTGTCGTTACCAGAACGACCAGAAACTCCTGGTTACTGAGTTTGAAATGTATGAGTTTAGCTCTGATTCATGGAGGGTTCTTGATGGCTTCACTGATAACTGGTGCTTATCATCTCGTGGCGTGTCTTTGAAAGAAAATGCATACTGGATTGCTTTGGATAAAGAAATCGGCTATTTCTTGCTCAGTTTTGATTTCACAACAGAGAGATTTGAGCGTCTCCCTCTTCCGTATGAGAGCCATAATTGGGAAGATACCGCGGTTCTATCAGTTGTTAAAGATGAACGACTCTCAGTGTTGTATCAGAGTATTTCTGTGTTTACAGCAATGATGAAGATATGGGTGACTAATAAGATTGCTGACACCAAAGACATGTCGTGGAGCAACTTCTTAGTTGTGGATTTTGAAAAGTTTATGTTACCGTGTGTGACGAATGTGATAAGCTTCTTTTTAGACGAGGAGAATAAAGTGGCAGTGTGTTGTGATAAAGACATGGATTTTGGAGACATAGCAGGTGGAGAAAGGACCAGAATTTACATTGTTGGAGAGGATATATATAAAGAAGCTTACAAAGAGACTACAAAGGAAACATTGTGGAATTGGTCACTGTTCGTCAGCTATGTTCCAAGTTTGGTTCACATTGAGGAAAACACACTGAAAAGGCAAAAGAAAATGAATGAAAAGGAGGTTAGTCCAAATGAATTACCTACTTTCGTTCTTGCTTTTCGTTTTGGTCATGTTCCTTTGAGTGAGATTAGCCAATTACTATAGGGGTTGTATCTATATAGTTATAAACAGAGTAACTGGATAAAGCTTTTCGTTGTTCCTCTTTTTTGATCTAATGATCTTACTTAAATACTTTCCATTTGGATTGGATGGTAGAGTATTTCCCATATAGAGAAACCAGCATATGAGCCTTCCTAATTCATACGTTGTTCCTTAGTCTTACAATGTAATGCTTAAATCTCTCACACTGGGATAGTTTTCTTGTAACGCAAACTCGAGAGTTTCATATCAAAAGACTGCTTTGGCTAGAATTATTTCATAGTTTCATAGTTTTCTTTCTGTATATGGTTTCGGGCTAGAATTATTTTCTTTAATTGGGTCCTTGTGTGTGTGTGAGGTTTACAGGTAGGGACGGGCAGCCATCTTCGTAAGAAGCACTAACGAACTCGAAGTGAAACTCAAACCCAAAGGGCAAAGCATATCCAAATATTGCCGCGTAGTAAGGAAGATTGAATCAATTCAACATTTGTTTGAGCTTTTGCTCTTATTTTGGCTATGAAAAGTAAAGTAAATACAATGCTTTTGTAGTTCATTTGACTTTGAGAGATATATTACCTAATAGTAGATGATATGCCCGAATGAAGAAGTCACAAACTTCCAGTGCTTTAAAGAAAAGTTTCTACAATTCGAATCTCATGTATTTTTTTCTCAAGAACTTAATTTGAGACGTTTCTTACGTATTTCTTGTAGTATCAACCTGACGTCCTTTGAGCCTAACTCTTGTTCGACTTTGAAGAATTCACAGTGAACTTCCTTGAGTAGTTTCAGAACAAAAGCCAACGCACCATTGTTTTCACTCTCGTCTCTCCTCTTCTCTGATAAAGACCTTTGTTTGTAATCATCGACTCTGAAATACTTGTACTCGTGGATCTTCACTAGGTTACTATGGTGATGGCATGTCCAAACATCACGCCTATCATCCACAATCACCACTCCACGCTCGTCAGCCAAAACCAAATCAAGCGTCTTCAGCTCAGGACTCTCGGTTCTTGTTATCACTCTATTCCCAAAATATATTCCCTTCGGATCAATCAGCTCCAACACGGCTTTAGCGTATCCGCGAGTACCCATTGTGTAAACATACATTGTGAACATCTTGTTGGCTTCTTCCAAGAACATGCGAACAAAAGGCTGTAGCTTTATCAAGTATACGGGGTCGTTGAGGAACGCCCTTAGATCATCCCATTCATCTGAATATGCTTCTACGATTAGATACTTCTCTGCTTTGGAGAGACCTGCAACCTTAGTGGCGTGGAGAAGCGTCTTGTCCAAGTCAAGGACAAGATGAAGCTTCTTCTCGTTGAGACAATAGTATTGCGTTGTAAATCGCTTCGTTAGTGTCGCAGCTTCCTGTCTTAGCCGGAAAACTCGGACGAGGAAGGGATAACTGAACGCTCGACCATTGGATTTGTTCACCGTGGATTTGCAGACGATGCAGATTCCGTAAAAGACGTACGAATGACCACAACTACTACGAGACGAGGACGACTCTTTGGTCGCCGGTTTGAGTTCCAGAGAAATCTTTTCAACTAGAGACGTGATTTCTCTGATCGATATAGTAGTCATCCTTGAGTAAACCCTTTCAGCTGAAATTCCCTGAGCACTGATCTGCGAGCAAATTAACCAAATTGAAGTCGAGAATATGAACAAAAAAACCTCAGAAACCGAGTGCAAACAAAAAGAACCCTAACTTGATCAGAAAGTAACTTCGACAGGAGAAAGAGAATTATTTTGAAGTAATTAACACGAAATTTTTCATCTCACTTTAACCTCGTATAATTTTTATAAGGAGAAATATGGAAATCCCAAAACTGATTGCTTTAAGCCTTCATCTCACTTTAAAAGGAGAAATATGGAAATCAAAATTCCGATTGTTTTTGTACTTTGCAACAATTTCCTTTTCAAGTGGACTTTAAATATTTCTTTATATAAGTTTCATGAAAGCGTCAAGGTTTACTTAAAACCCCAATCAGTTAATATAGTTGAGCTAGGTCAAAAGAAATCAAAAGAGAAATTTTAATTTTGGTTGAATGCAATTTCCCTTTAATTAGCAAACAATAGGATCAACAATGTTAGTGATTTGTCATATACATATGGGCTTTATAATTAAACTAATGGGCTTTCCACTAATGAGCTTTTTGTAAGTAAAACCCCCAATTTCTGTTTAGGGTTGTTTCGCTTTCTTCCTCGAGAAGTCAGAGTCAAAAATCACGAGAAATCGGCTATTTTCTTGCTTAGTTTTGATTTCACAACAGAGAGATTTGAGCGTCTCCCTCTTCCGTATCAGAGCCATAATTGGGAAGATACCGCGAATCTGTTAGTTGTTAAAGATGAACGACTCTCAGTCTCAGTGTTACATCAGAATATGCTTTCATTTTCAGTAGTGATGAAGATATGGGTGAGTAATAAGATTGTTGACACCAAAGACATGTCGTGGAGCAACTTATTATTAGTTGTGGATTTTGAAAAATTTATGTTACCAAGTGTGACGAATGTGGTAAGCTTCTTTTTGGACGAGGAGAATAAAGTGGCAGTGTGTTGTGAAAAAGACTTGGAAGATGGAAACAGAAGATATGGAGAAAAGACGAGAATTTACATTGTTGGAGAGGATATATATATAAAGAAGTTTATAAAGAGACTACAAAGAGAAGATCATTGAATTGGTCACTTCTCGTCAGTTATGTTCCTAGTTTGGTTCACATTAAAAAAAAAAACACACTCTAAAGGCCAAAAAAAATGAAAGAAAATGAGGTTCGTCATTTCTTAGTTTCTTTCTTGCTTTTCGTTTTGGTCATGTTCCTTTGAGTGAGATTAGTCAATTATTATAGGGATTGTTTATCACTTATTCGTTATTCCCCTTCTTTACTTTTGAATTTGGATCGGTGATTTAATGATCTGATTCAAATACTTTCTATGATGCTTATAGATAAAAACAGAGCATTTCCCATATAGAGAAACTAAACTTCAGCACATGAGCCTTCATAATTCATACCATGTTCCTTAGTTTCATGGTGTAAGGCTTAAATCTCACACAAGGATAGTTTTCTTGTAACGCAAACCCGAGAGTTTCACATCGAAAGACTGTTTTGGCTACATTTGTTTCTTTTTGTATATGGTTTCGGGTTAGACTTATCTCTTAATGGGGTCCTTTTGTGTGTCATGTGTGTGAGGTTTTACAGGTAGGGACGGGAAGCCATCCTCATAAGAAGCGTTAGCAAAATCGAAGTGAAGCTCAAACCCAAAGGCTGAAGCATATCCAAATCTTGCCGCGTAGTAAGGAAGATTGAATCAAGAACATATGTTTGAGTTTGAAACATATGTAAGGCTGAAACATATGTTTGAGTTTTTACAATGGTTTTGCAGTTCATTTGGCTTTGGTGGATATATTACCTAATAGTAGATGATATTCCAGAACGAAGAAGTCACATACTTCCAATGCTTAAATGAAGTTTCTATAAAATAAATTTCATATTTTCTTTTTAAAGAAGCTGTAATTTGAGACGTTCGAAGGCTTTTTTCTTGTAGCATCACCCTAACGTCCTTTGAGCCTAACTCTTGTTCGACTTTGAAGAATCTAAAGTGAAGCTCCTTGATTAGTTTCAGAACATTGGCCAATACACCA